ATTTTCTTTTTTTTCTTTCCTCGATTCGACTCTTTTTCCGTTAGCTGATAGTCAAGTGAAACGTCCTTTTGTCTATTAAAAACTTCTCACGACTCTCCCCTTCCTTCTCCACTTTCTGACCAGCTATTGATACGAATGAAATCTGTCTCATCGACATGGCGCGTTCCATTTGCAAAGATATTTCCATTTAGGAAGTTTGAAACGAAAGCAGAAGTTTAGTTGTTCGTTGGAACCTGATTCAATGAAGATCTTTCTTCGATTCAATGAAGCAGAGTGCCAACGCTCAGTATCATACGTAATGGATGTTGTCGAGCGCTTGATCTAGCAGAATTTACATTGTTGGTTGACTTGCAATTAGACATTCCTGAATGTACCTCCGATGTTTCAGAATTAATCGCCACACGATTCGATTTGTTAATCTTGTCAACCTCTTGCGACGTGTGCCACGCGTGTCGAGAATTCTTTCTCCCAAAAGTTGCAACAATTTCTCAGTTTCAAATATATAACTAGGTTATATGCCTAGGTTATATTTAATATATAAATATATTATATTAATATANAGTTTCCCATCAAGAAAAAAAGGTCCAATTAAAAATTTATCAATTATTCCTGCCCATACGTTTAAACTAAACTGGTGTTGATGTCTTGAATGCAGAATTACATGTGGGTTTTCTTCATCCCAATTATGATTATTATGAAAATTGAATGTATCATCCCTGGTAAAAACAGCTTACTAGAATTTGCTCTGTTTATAAAATTCATTATATCTCATAAACAGATAGGCCATACATTTATATGACTTTTTTTCATTATTTTTAGGCCAGTACAATCAGCTCCTGAAGTAGGTCCCACAATTTACGAAACACCCTGTATAATTTGTTCAGTAGAATATCGCTCTTTTGAACCGTCGCTAAAGCTTATAAGTTACAAGTTCACGCAAGCTTCACGAAGTTGTAATATTAATTCACTTTAAATTTATATATTTCAGTACAGATGGTAAGTTGTAAAATTTTTAATTATATTAAATTATATTTAATATAATTATATTTAGTATATCCAATTATACTTAAGTTGTAAAATTTAGTAAAATTTTTATAGTGTTTTCTGTGAAATTGCAGTACGTGTCAGAAATTATGGAAGAATCTTCTCGTCACATTTTGTGCTTTCTCAATTCCAAAAAAAAAAAAAGGACGGATCGCGAAATTTTTTTAAACACCTAAAGCTGAACCTAATAAATTTCGAAAGTTTGAAAAATTATTCGACGCGTGTATGTACATTTTTCGTATCATACGCTTTTTTTGGAGCGAAAGAATTAGATCGGGAAGAGATTCGCCGTGATCAGCTGTGGAAATTCTCGGCCATGTGTACATAAGGAAAAGCCAGGTGAAATGACGCGAGACAATAATCGATCTCAGCCTCGAACGAAGGGGAAAAAGCACGACGTTCTCGAGGCACGCGCAGAGAGAACGTCAGCTTGGTCCAAGGCAAGGGAAAACGAAGGCAGAGAGAGAAGAAATTGTTAGGCTTTCCGAGCGAGTTCGTAGGAGGTAACGAGCACCAGCTTCGCGGAGAAATCGAGCTGAACGCGCGCAAGCTATAGATCCGCCAGTGGAAATGGTCCGTGACGGTAACGGAATGTTCGCCGCTATTAAACGGAACGCAGTTTAGAAAGAGGAATGGGGATTGAAGGAGAAAGAATTAGAAATCTCATAACAGAGAGAGAGAGAGAGAGAGAGAGAGAGAGAGAGAGAGAGAGAGAGAGAGTTGAAAAATAAAATATAAAAAAAATAACAAGTAAGATAAAAGATTGGTAAAACTGATGAAATATGAAAAATTGGCAAAACACGAAAAAATAACAGATAAAGTAAAAAGTGCATAAAATTGGTAAAATATGAAAAGTAACAGGTAAGGTAAAATGTTGGTAAAATTGGTAAATTATGAAAAATAACAGATAAGGTAAAATGTTGGTAAAATTGGTAAATTATGAAAAATAACAGATAAGGTAAAATGTTGGTAAAATTGGTAAATTATGAAAAATAACAGATAAGGTAAAATGTTGGTAAAATTGGTAAATTATGAAAAATAACAGATAAGGTAAAATGTTGGTAAAATTGGTAAATTATGAAAAATAACAGATAAGGTAAAATGTTGGTAAAATTGGTAAATTATGAAAAATAGTAGGTAAAATAAAAGATTGGTAAAATTGAAATATGTAAAATTGGCAAAATATGAAAAAATAATGAGATAATGTAAAAAGTTGATAAAATTGGTAAAATAACAGTTAAGATAAAAAGTTCATAAAATTGGTAAAATATGAAAAGTAACAGGTAAGGTAAAATATTGGTAAAATATGAAAAATAACAGATAAAATAAAAGATTGGTAAAAGTGAAATATGAACAACAGCATAAAAAAAAATAATAATTAAGATAAAAGGTTGGAGAGGAGGAAAATTAAAAGGAGTCAAAAGAGAAACAGAGAGGATAAAATTTAAAATGGTCTGTCAAAAAAAGAAAAAACAGTAAAAGAAAAAGAGAAATTAAACGAAGAGTCGAGCCTTCGTCCTTCGATCCTTGCCATTTTCGTCCTCGACCCGGGGAAAGCCCGCATTCTATGTCCCTCCCCCCTTCTAACTTGCCTAGTGGCCTGCTTTCCTGCCGCCAACCTCGTTCGTACCCCTTTCGCCGCAGCAACGGAAGTGACGAAGGTAAGAAACGCGTAGGTAAGAACAGAGAGAGAAAGATAATTCATTTACGAAGAAAAAAAAAAAAATACAGAAGAGGCGCAAAAGACGGAATAAAAGATGGGTGGATGGGGGAAAAAAAAGGAGAAATAAATAAGAAAGTTCATCCCGGTTGTTAGAACTTTCTTTCTCCTCTTGTTGCTTCAATACTTTTGTTAATTTTCAAGACCTTCGACCTTATCATTCCTCCTTCTGTTTGTAAATCGTAAGATCTTTAAGTTTTATATTTGTTTATTTTTTTTTTTTTTTTTATAGTATTTAAGTTAAACAATTATGAATCGGCAATTATGAATCCGCAATGAGGAGGCGAATGTCGATCATTATTATTCTACTATTAAACAAAAAAAGTGATTCGACTTGTCTCAATCCATCTTGTACATGGAACGAAATTTCCCCGAATTACGAGCAAATAGTCATCGATTCCGGAAATGCGACTTTCGGCCAGAAAGGAGAGGCTGCTTCTGCAAAACACAAAAGCTTGAAAGTAACAATTTCTTTCTCATCCCTTGGCGAGGGGGAGAGCGCTGGAAAAAGGGGCCAGTTTTAGCATTCCGCGTGGCAAGAGGAATTTGCACGGGAATTGAATTGCATAATGAAGACGGACAGACACTGGGCGACAATGGCGGCGAATAGCAAGCGATTCAATTTCCAAGTTGCAGACGTACAGGGAACTTGCCGAGCACGCGCTCCGAAAGCGGCAACTTTCTCGGATCATAAAGCCGTGAAAGTCTATAGGCTCGTTGCTCGTGTCCTCGGCCGTTCAGTTTCTCCGAAAATCAGTTTCCACTGTGCTTCCATATGTCAAAATTTCGATATTTTCAAATTTCGACTTTTCAACAATTTATGCAAGCCGAGTGAGTTAAGTTTCACAGGTTTACGATTTTAGAATCAGGAAAGGCAATTTTTAATAGCCCATCTTGCATGAGCATAATTACGAACGACAGTGAAAAATTGTCGACAAATTTACAGAGTGAACCAAAAATCACTTCCTACTGAAATAAATCTGTAATTCCTTTGTCGCATATCTATTTTTTTTTCTGATGGTCGTTCGAAGGAAATAATTGACGACGTGAATCGATTTGCCAGAAAATTTTTCAATTTTTCTACAGATGCATTTGCATTTTTATAACTCTCGAGAATAAAAATATTCCTACTTTCTCACCCGGTATACAAAAAAATCGTCTATAACTTTGAAACTATTCATTTTTCGATCCACGTTTATTAAGACTTTTTTTCATGTACTATCGAGTACTATCTACTTTTTTTCTATTCACCCTGTATGTTCTTTCCGATTTGTACTTTGGTCAGTGGCCAGCGAGTCACTGCCCCCACTTTCCTGATGGCTAGCGTTACCCCCTCCACTGTATTGAAATTTCCTCGCCCCACTCCTCCCACTGAGTGCAGTGGAGGGGATAGCGCTACCGATCAGAGTAGGGGCAAGGGCCGCCAGTTAGCCAGCTTTGCTTTAAAACGACTCATATTAATGTGATTAATTCCTAACAACAACGCGATGCCTGACCATTTGTTGCGTCCATCTCTCTCTCTCTCTCTCTCTCTCTCTCTCTCTCTCTCTCTCTCTCTCGCTCGATCATTATTCTCTCAAGGTTCCTATCGACGTATTCGCAGCTTATTCCATATTCAGGATGACATCCTTTGAATGTCGCTGCCCGTCACTCAGCTCTCACGTTTGTTAAAGAAGATGAATAGCCCCCGAGATGTGCATCGATCACGCGTTGAGCGCGAAACGGACGATAAATGACCTTTCTCGTCGAGACGATCCGATAATTAGCATCCCCGACTTGTTGAACTTGAGCCGTTCGATTACTTTCGCGCCATTTGTTTGCCCGTCGATGTTTATTAATTATCAGTTATTAGTTTTTAGAGGAAGGAAGAGAAAAATGTAACACGGGTCAGATTTAAACGAAATTCGTGTTTCGAGCGTCAATTTTATTGATTGGTGATAGTTCATATTATTGATTATAGTGATGGTTAACATTCACAATCGTGACTGGAAATATATTAAAAATTTCCGTACGATGTGTCTTGGTCATGGTCTAATTTTAACTAAAAAAAATGAAAAAATTTTTTTTTCATTATAAAATATTAATTTGATTCATTAAAATATAATATTAATAAAATTGAAAAAACATATGCTTGAATAATTGATGTAGAAATTTCTAAAATTAATAATATATTTTGAATAATTATAGATGATGGTAAAAAAACAATTCAACTTATTAAAATTTCTTAATAAAATAAAAATTAAATGTCCAGAAATTAAATTTGATGATAATCGAATTGATAAAGTTCAAGGTCGAATAATTAATCGAATTAATTCAATAATTACTATAAAATGTATAAGAAATTTAGGGGAATTTAATGGAACTAAATGTTTTAAAAAATTAATTGGATAATTAAATATTTGATAAATAAAAAATCTTAATCGTAATGATAAACTGGCACAAACTACTGTCACACATAACAGTTGATTACATATAACAGTATATATTACAGTATACAAATATAAAATAATTCATATATACAAGAATAGAAACAATAAACACGCCATATTCTAGTTCTCCCGGAAATTCAATCAAATTTGCGGGGTAAACGATTTAATAGATCAAACTATAAACTGGAAGCTTGAATTTTCCATTTACATCTGCCCACATTTCTCTCTCTCTCTCTGCAAAGTGTTACAACTCTCTTCAACTTGAGTTCGAAATCCACGGAATCACGTCAAACTTTATATTTCACATTTCAGTAGTTACGCTCGAAAATTTCTCAAGTACACGTGTACCAAGACAATTTTCCATGGGACATATTCAAAGTCTATTTTGATGAAAACGACGCCTTAAACGGAGAAATTTTACTCTGCACCTTCTCACTTATTTCTGCTAGAATATCTTCGTGTCAATTACTCACGCCCATTCCAGTAATTTAAATATTGTTGACAAACTCAACTTTCTCGAGAATAAAGACTTCAACGAGAAAATTTTATTCCTTTTCGACACGTTTTCATGAGCCTGTATATTCGCGCCTATTCAATACAGTTCATTTAGTCTATTTAAAAGAAAAAGACAATTACTTTTTGGCCAATCCAACAACAATTCCCTCATTCGCCATTCATCAATAACAATTTACGTTCATCGACTAACAAACTTTACAGAGGCGGCGAACTGGCGGCCCGTGCCCCCACTCTTGTGGTCGGTATCCCCTCCACCGCATCATTCCCCCCTACTTTAGCTCTGATTCAGCCGAGTTAGCTGCTCCAAAGTGGTCAAAATGACCAATTTATAATTTTTGTCGCATAATATTTTTATAGACGTATAATAATTTTTCGCAGGGTATAAACAAAAACTTGTACATTCCATTGTAACTTCAATATCTCTGATAGAAATTTCACGCTTTAATCTCGGCCCGTGCCCCAAAGTGGACAAACTGACCAATTAATTATAATTTTTATTTTCAATCTATAATTTTATTTTACAGATGTAACAACAGCGTGTTTTCAAAGATTTAAGTAATTCTTCGCAGAGTAAAAAAAGCGAACAAAGTTTCTCTGGACTTTAATGTCTCTCTGAGGGATATTTGATGCTTTAACCCTCCACTTAGTTGAAGGAAGATCAAAGAAAAGAACTACTTGTACGGCGCGCTGCGGCGAGAAAGAACGCACAGAGTGGAAACTAATTTTCATGATGGGGGGGAAGAAGTTCGCCGCCTCTGATTTACACGACGTGAAACGTTGCTGTCGCTCGAAACTAATAACACGTTTAATCCCCCGACAAGTCCGCCCGAGAAGAAACAAAATGTCAACCGCTGAGAAGAAACGACTGGCGAAAACGCTTTGGCACACAGAAATCTCCTCTCTCTCTCTCTTTCTCCACGTTTATTGCCAGGAACGATTTTTCGTCGTGAAACACGCGTCCTCGTCATCTCGGATTTTACGGCCACGGCACAAGGATGATTTACGATTTACGAGCATCATCATTGCTCCTTCGTGCAATAAAAGTTTCAGATATTGGCAATAAGCTACCGTCATTACGCACGCGTTTCGTTTTTCGCGCGTATTCATCGTCATCGAAGAACTATGAATCCAAAGGTTCTCCTAGTAATTGTTCGTTGATATGACGAACCATTTCTCTTTTCTTTTTTTTTTTTTCTTTTGAAAGTGGCATAAGTCCAATGTAAGTTGAAGAAAAAACTGACTTGAAACTAGTCTTCTTTTCATATTTATAAGAACAAAGTCAATGTTGCATGTACAACATCCTCAGGGATTCACCAAAAGAAAAGAAATTTCACCATTAAATGTTGCTTTTGAAACAGAATTACGAAGTTTTCTTTTTCTTTTTTTTTTTTCTTTGGAAGTTACAATTATTTTATCACATATTATTTAAAAAAAAATACTAAAGAATCTTTTACAATGTTGCAATTCATCAAAAAAAATTTTTTACAGATACTGCAAGCAAAAATGTTGCCAAAAAAGGCGAACGAAATTGATCTCTTGCCTTCTACCAGTTCAAAAGTTTAATAAAGACAACTTTCATCCCAACGTTGAAATTAATTAAGCAATTTTTCAGCATTTCCCATTTCCGCTTCAACACTGCCAATTACTATCTCCACGATATAGCTTACAATGTGTAAGATCGGCCAAGCTGTTATTACTTTTTGTGGGAAACGAGGACATTTACGTCGGAAGCTACCGTTTAATAATTATTTTATGACACTCGCTGGTCGAGGGACAACGACATGATCGTCAACGTGTCTTGATTGCCTATTTGTTAGAGAGCAATATCCAAGATATATCGCAAATTGCGTGCCTTTCTCGTCGATTTGGGACAATATAATCGTGTACAGGATATTTTCTCTTTTCCTTTTTTTTAGAAGAAAAATACTTCGTTTTTTGAAACAGACGAGTTTGAAAATTTATCAAAGACAACACTCTAACGAAATATATTATTCAGTCAAGCTGTAAGTGAAAGAAATTTCACTCTACATTTTTCAGTTGAATATTTCCAGAATAGAATACTCTCCTATTTAATCATTTTCTGTCACGTCAATTAAATTATTAAAATATTTAGCCCATAGTTAGTAAATTTCCAGACTCGAATTGGCGAGGTAAATTTTTTTTAAATAAAAAAAAAATGTATCGGTCGGATTTACCCGAACGACAAAAATTCGAAGCCAAGTGACAAGCTTCGAGACACTCCTTTATTTGAAACTCTTCGAGAGAGTATAAAAGCGGGAGGGAGAAAATTTATGTGGACGCCGATCAGAAGAATTTCTGCAACGTCGCGGCAATTTACAACGTGGGAAAACAAGGAAATCGTCCGTGACACAGATGGATTCACAGAAGTTGGACGAGTTTAGAGACTAATCGATGACACGGGGGAACATTTCAATCCAGCCGTCCTCCAACTTCCAATCTACTCGATCGTTAACAAAACGGTGAATTGCATCTTGACGGACAGTTAACTCCCGTTCTCGATATCCGACCTAATTCCACCACACCATGGAGAACGATAAACTCCCCCTCGCCTCCCTGCGCTTGGTTGTCGTTCGAGAAAAGACCTGCCGATTGAATGTGATCGGTAGGAAAATTATTTGTCGTTTTCCAAAGGATTACGACTCGTTGATTGAAGAACTACAAACACTTTTCGGAGCAAAAGCGATTGTTTTTAAACTTGAACAAAGGGACGTGGAAATATTATTGATTTATTGAATTGTTAATTTAATTTCCCTTTAATTACATTCAGACTACCCACGTCTAACTTTAAAGCTCGATCACGTCTGATGTTAACCAACCTGCGCTGGCAAACTGATTGTGGACCATAACGAGTGACCCAAACCGTACACAACAGTTCGTCGCTTTCTTTTGGAACTCGTCGTTACGACGACTATCATTGAATAGATATTATTGAGAAGTAATAAATTTATTATATTATAACAATATTACAATAATATATTATATATTATTATTATATTATATATAATAATATTATAATAATAATTATTGAGAAATAATAAATTTATTATATTATAACAATATTATAATAATATATTATTATATATTATATTATATTATATATAATAATATTATAATAATAATTATTGAGACGTAATAAATTTATTATATTATAACAATATTACAATAATACATTATTATATATTATTATATTGTTTTTAAACTTGAACAAAGGGACGGGGAAAAATAAAGATTTGTCTTATTTCTCTCAGTAGCATGCAATTCTTTTACGTATCAATTTTGCGAATCTTACTGTGCATTAATTTAGTAGTCTTGCATTTTTTTTTTTAATTACTTAGTCTTAGAGGTACAGGGCAAAGAAACTCTCGGTGAAAAGAGTACCATCGTTTCTAAAACGTTCTGGATTTGTCACCGAACTGCAAACTCTTAGACAAACGCGTATAACGAAATTAAATTATAATTATGAAATGAATGATTAAAGAAATTATGAAATGAATTGTTAAAGAAATTATTAAAGAAAAAATAAAGATTTGCTTCGTTTCTTGCGAGTCTTATTTTTTTTCAATGCCTTGCAATTTTTCTATATATCAATTTTGTGAGTATCACTATGTATTAATTGTTTCGGTGTCTCGCAATTTCTCTATTTTTTTATTTATTATTCAGTCTAGAAGCAAAGGAAATTGATTAGTCGAAGCAGAGGTGGCTAACTGGCGGCCGTTGCCCCCACTTTCCTGATCGCTAGCGCTACCCCCTCCACTCCGTCGATCCCCTCCACTACGTTGAGAGTGTCGCGGCCACAATACTCGCATTAGGTATATATACACATATATAAATTGTTTTCTTTACTGTAGCTGCCAAAGTTAAAGGAAATGTAGTTCGTACGCTACGGTAGAACAAAATGAACAGAGTGAAAATAAAATAATTTTTGAAGGTGAAGAAGTTCGCCACTTAAGCCTCTGACTTAAAGGGTTAAAAAAAAATATGATCCGAGTACAAAACTAGAAGATAATTCGCTCGATGGATCGGCGAAACTTTCACTCAAAAACTTGAGGAAATATGTAGCTAAAGAGGAGACGATTGTACATAAAAACAGAATAATGGTTACATCGAGCTGTTTCACGCTGGCTTGTTTATTCCCGATGAAGTTTATCTGCCGTCGTATAGCCTCTTATCTCTCCATTTGCATTATTTATAGCACCGTTATCAACGATATATATCTGTGTACATTTTTCGAGTAAGTAATATAGAAGCACAGAGAGCTACCACCTTTAGAATTAAAACGCATTTCGTTTCCAACGAAAATCTCGATCGGTCCATCAAATCTCGTCAAATTTCGTCATACCGATTTAATCGGTCAGTGATATATTTAATACAAAATCGTATGCAAACGCGATTTTCTCTTTTGCGATGTTTATAATATTTTGAGATATTTTAATCAGAATGCGGGGAAAATTTGAAGATGCGCAAAAATAGTGTGCAAAAATATATAACATGATATATTAATTACAATAATATGTAATAATAATAATACGTATATATATTGTAATTAATATACAATAATACGTATATATATTGTAATTAATATACAATAACATGTATATTAATTACAATAATATATAACATGATATATTAATTACAATAATATGTAGAATGAAACGATTTCCCATTTAGGTACCATTTTTCCTATAATAAAATTCGCGAAATGCCTGATATCTAATTACAATAATATTACAAGCTATAGCACACGAATATTTCTATCCCTCGTTTATAATAATTCCCTACCAAATCCTCAGTTCAAAGTCAAGAAAAAAAAAAAAAATCGAGATATTTTTGAAACCTGGTATTACACAGCGTCTGCCAATTTCCACAGAGATTCAACACTTACACTTTTCAAAAAAAAGTGAGAACGGAGAACGCAGCTTCTGCGAAGGTAATTCCTCGTTTATGTTAAAAAAAGAAAGCCCAGCGACGAGTGATTAATGTAGGAAAAAAAAAACCTCAGTGTCTCGCCACAATCGGGAATCAAAAGCCCCCGAAGGAGGCTTCGTCACGCTGACCCACTTCAGAGAATTTTATCCCCGGGTTCGATTATCCTCGACACGTGCCAGATTCGAAACGTCGACGCGGATAGCTCGAACGTTTCCATAATTTATGTGAATATCTGTACAAATCGTTCGAGGGATGGCCTCGTTGTCCACCAGAAGCCTAACAGGTTTTCTTCCGACACTCGCGAGAATTTCAATGCCTGCTAGATTTTTCTCGAGATCTTTCACTAATTGTTTATTAATTTATCATTAATTATTCATTACCTATCCGTTAATTATTAATTTACTCGTCGAATTATTTATTGATTTACTGAATTGTTAATTTAATTTCCCTTTAATTACATTCAGGCTACCCACGTCTCACTTTAAAGCTCGATCACGCCTGATGTTAACCAACTTGCGCTGGCAAACTGATTGCGGACCATAACGAGTGACCCAAACCGTACACAACAGTTTCGTCGCTTTCTTTTGGAACTCGTCGTTACGACGACTATCATTGAATAGAAATTATTGAGAAGTAATAAATTTATTATATTATAACAATATTATAATAATATATTATTATATATTATATTATATTATATTATAATATTATAATAATAATTATTGAGACGTAATAAATTTATTATATTATAACAATATTATAATAATATATTATTATATATTATATTATATTATATTATATTATAATATTACAATAATAATTATTGAGACGTAATAAATTTATTATATTATAACAATATTATAATAATACATTATTATATATTATTATATTATATTATATATAATAATATTATAATAATAATTATTGAGAAGTAATAAATTTATTATATTATAACAATATTATAATAATATATACATTATTAATATTATATTATATATAATAATATTATAATAATAATTATTGAGAAGTAATAAATTTATTATATTGTTTTGCAAATATACTTAAATACACTTGAAACTGAGAAAATATTGCAATTTTGGGACAAAAGATTCTCGACGTGTATTCCAGCGCAAGAAGTTAATAATCGTTCGTGTTTAAGGAGCGAGGGGAAAAAATAAATTTGAAAAAAAAAAAAACGAGAATAAACATTTGAAGGAAAAGAGGATCGGCGTGCTTTTTTGATCAAAAGGGGGATCTGGTAACGATATTGAACTTGACTGGCTCGACTTCGTTACGATGCAAGGTCCGGCGGTAACGAGTCGAGGCGGCCAGTGTTGATTGATAATCAACGCTAGCTGTTTTTCCAGCCGGTGGTTCATCATCGTGCCTAGAGTCACGCGTTCTTGCGATCGCACACGCCTACTCGGAATCGTTCAGTCCCACGTTTGCGGCAATTAGCACGTAGGATAATTAACCTGTACGTGAGTAATCGTGCACGATAAGCACGATTTACTTCAACACGATCCTCACTATTCCATGATTTTCACTTTTGAAATTTGGTTTTACTTAAACGTAGTTTTCGAAGAAATATATTTGACACGGTTTTTTTTTTTTTTTTTTTTTTTTTGTTTTTTTTATTGGCAATCGAGGTTTAGAAGGGGTGAAAACTATCCTTGAAGTTAGGGCTGCGGAGTACACTTTGTCAAATTACTCGAGATACAGTTTCCGTGTATTTAAATAAAATTTGAGCGCTGGTTTAAAAATTGTCACGCTTTCGAAAAATCGCGAGAAATAAATTATATTACAGCAACAACGTATGATAAATAAATTAATTTAAAATAATGTTGTATTTCACCGTTGCACGTTGATTTATCTTGAAGCAAACACAAATGGACAGTGCAACAACATTGAAAACAGATCGAGTTCAAAGGGTTAACTTGTTTTCTCTGGTATCGACCGAATCGAAATCCACAGGCCGTTTGATATATAGTAGGAACACAGAGAGGAAGACAGAAAGAAAGAAAGAGAGGAGAGAACTGTCGTTGCAGTTATTCAAATCGAAGCGTTTGAAGGTGAAGGATCCAGAGAGCGGAAAACAAACGATGTCACACGCCGCTAAACGTTAACATTAATAAACTTCCTTATGCTTGCAACCAGTTCGCTCACAGTTTCTGTCTCTCAAACGTATCCACCACGTAAGTTTGCCCATCGAGATTCGCGGGCTCGATTTTTTCGAAGAATCGCAAATCGAGAAGTGGGGCAAAGAGAAGTTGGCGCGCGCGTTCGCATACAGTTTGCGAAAGTTTAAGTAGATAGTGAAGTTCGAGGTGGAAGCGTCCGAGAGGATTCTGGATAATGCTCCGAGAAGACAAAGGATGACCTGTTTCGTAACATCGTAAATTTAAACATCGACATTGTGTACGAAATAACATAAAGAGAAAAGAAAGAACAAATCGACGACTTTGAAGAAGTTGTCAAACACGTTCCAACAAATTTTTGTTACACTGCAACGAATGTATCGAACTTTGTACCTGTACTGCTTTATTTTTGTTGATTAGGCGTGTTTGACAGAATAATATCAAAAGGAAGAAAGAAAAAATCGACGATTTTGAAAAAGTTGTCAAACACGTTCAAACAAATTTTTGTTACACTGTAACGAATGTATGGAACTTTGTCCTTGTACTGCTGTATTTCATTAATTAGACATGTTTGACAGAATAATGTCAAAAGAGAGAAAGAGAAAATCAACGATTTTGGAAAAGTTGTCAAACATGTTCCAACAAATTTTTGTTACACTGCAACTAATGTGTCGAACTTTGTCCCTGTACTGCTATATTTTGTTGATTAGGCGTGTTTGACAGAATAATATCACAAGGAAGAAAGAAAAAAATCGACGATTTTGGTAAAGTTGTCAAACACGTTCAAACAAATTTTTGTTACACTGCAACGAATTTATCTAACTTTGTTCCTGTACTGCTGTATTTCATTAATTAGGCGTATTTGACAGAATAATGTCAAAAGAGAGAAAGAGAAAATCGACGATTTTGAAGAAGTTGTCAAACACGTTCCAACCAATTTTTATCACACTGCAACGAATGTATGGAACTTTGTTCCTGTACTGCTGTATTTCATTAATTAGACATGTTTGACAGAATAATGTCAAAAGAGAGAAAGAGAAAATCGACGATTTTGAAGAAGTTGTCAAACACGTTCCAACCAATTTTTATCACACTGCAACGAATGTATGGAACTTTGTTCCTGTACTGCTGTATTTCATTAATTAGGCGTGTTTGACAGAATAATGTCAAAAGAGAGAAAGAGAAAATCGACGACTTTGAAGAAGTTGTCAAACACGTTCCAACAAATTTTTGTTACACTGCAACGAATTTATCGAACTTTGTTCCTGTACTGCTGTATTTCATTAATTAGATATGTTTGACAGAATAATATCAAAAGAAAGAAAGGAAAAAATCGACGGTTTTGGAAAAGTTGTCAAACACGTTTCAACAAATTTTTATACCGTAACGAATGTATGGAATTTTGTCCCTGTACTGCTATATTTTATTGATTAGGCGTGTTTAACAGAGCAATATTCGAAACTGGGGGCGTGTTTAGAGAGTAATATTCGTACTCGAAATTTCCATCGTGGTTAGAATGTTCGAGGATATTATCTACCTGCTCCGATAAGACTGTACGATCTAATTATCTGACAAGTAGCACCGACAAATGGCGCACGTACCGCATTTTTTCTTCTTATCTACGTCTTATCTACGCTACGATAATGCCGTCTATAAATTCGTAACGACACCAACGAATATGATCGCTGAATATTTCGAACGCTCGCTAATGACTTGTCGATAACCTCCATAAAGCACGAAATGCAGAAGTTTACGCAAACATTCGCGCATTTGTCGAAAATTATCGCGGAAATTAAGCGATTCGTCGAACAATATCGCCAACATTTTCTGGATTTTTCATTTCACTCGCAATACTCCGATATAACGGAGGGGATATTGTCACAGAAAACATTAGCGCATCTCGCAAACAAACAACACCGACGTATACAGTGATGAAACTGAACACACAATGATGAAAAATTGTCGACACTTTAAACTGGTTGTGTCTTCGTAAAAGGAAATCATAGATACATACTCGATCTAATTTTCAAGCACGAAGTTTAGATTTCTACAACGATTGCCCTACGTTTATTTTCTTCAAAAGACATTTTCACATCGTGATGATTTTTTTTTTTTTTTTTTTTAATAAAGTTATGACAATCCAAAGTATGAATAATTTTTCATTCAAATTAATTCTGGTGTAATATTGACTGCAATTAGTTGAAAACAATTTATATTTGCCAGATAACAGGGTCATAAAATATGTTTCTGGAAAGTCGAAACATTCTGCAAAACACACTACGTATTTTGCCAAATATTCTGTGTGTTCAGTTTTGCATTTAAACATTTTCATCGTGGAGAAAAACAATATCTTTTAAACAATGTGTTCTGTTTCGATGAATGACAAAATCTGCGCAATATTCACGGCAAGAGCCTATTATATAATTATAACATCAACAACATTTTTATACTGTGTGTGTGTGTGTGTTTCAGCGTATAAATTTCTGAATTTCGCGCGTTTAAAAGCCAAGAAAAGGAACTTTTCCTTTTTTCTCGGCACGATTACCCAAAAGATAAAAAACTTTCGAACGTATCTCATTCGACTTTCATGAGACACCCTCTATCTTATCGTCGTGGAGCTCCGATCGAACGACGTGGATCCGACGGATCGCGAAACTTTAAACGAAAGATTAAATTGCTACCCGTCGAGAGTTACGAGAAACAAAAATAAATAAAGTGAAAGGCTCCGCGCGGTGCTCAATTTTTTTTCGACAAATTAAAAAATTCGACGATTTGATAATAGAATTTAATTCATTGAAAACATGTTTTGTTTTATTAAAAATCATTAAATTAAAGGAGTCTCCTTCGAGATACGATCAATAATTATTTAATCTAACGAAGATTGACAAAATTTGAATGAAATAAATCGTTTTCATATTCATCTTTCAATATCGATCTAACGAAACTTAAATATTGATCTATATGTCTATTTATCTAATGAGACTACCGAAAAAAAAAAAAAAAATTTCAGCAATGATAAAAATCTGGATAATCTGAGAATATTCCTCAGTCAATTCTACATTCAGCCGCGCAACAATGAGAAAAAATGTCTGAAGAGATCACTCACCGCTCGATCTTGTCCATGGTGGTGGGATGTTGCAAGATGGTTTGCTGTCCGGACATTTCGACGACGCATTGTGTACCGAGTTCCAGCTCTGGAAAAGCAGAGTGAAACTAATTAAAATGCGCGGGATTAATTGCGAGGGCAATTTGTATTTTAGGTATGAGGCGTGCGACGCGACTCGCAAGAGAATTTGGAAAACTGGTTCCAGAAAATGAAACAAGAAGAAAAAAGCAGACAAATTTAGAGATATACACGGTGACTTCCATTAATACTCGAACATTAACATATTAAGTATTGAAACTGTTATAATTTTGCAAAAAGTTGTTTTATTAACAGAAAACGAATTATTATTGTAAACGAATTATTATATATAACATAACAGTATAATAATAATCAGATAATGTTCTGTTAATAAAATAATTTCAAGAATGTTCATTGGATTCATTGATTTAGAGGTTAAGTGATTGATTATATTATATATGTCATAGAGGTTACGTTTGAATATATTATATTGTATTATAAATGTTAAGTTTGATTATATTATATTATATTATATTATATTACAAAGGTTAAGTTTGATTATTGTATAATTATTATGCAAGTTACTAAGTTACATTTGTGATGGTAAACAGTGTCACACATATCTTCTGCAAAAGCAACGGTATATAATAATACCCGTAATATCAAATGAGCTATTAATTATCAGTTAAATTAGTATGCATACTTGACTGATTCTCAACTTCATTTTTCTCCTGAAAACAAAGTCTCACAATTTCGTTCTTCTCCTTGATCCTCGTCTTATTTTCTTATTCTTATAAAATCTCCTTGGTCCAATTTCTTTCATGAATTACCTTGTACGTCTTTTCCGCGTTACTTATTAAAATTATTTATATATTATTAATATTATTATTTATATATTATAACACTTTGATGAAACTACTGTCACGCATAATTGATTACAGTTTGTAACAAACGACTGTCGGTCAGTAGCACGTAGTTTCACTCTTCCACCAATCGCGAGCCGCCGCTCATAATTCAACCAATCAGCAGTGCCTCCTTTCCTTTTGTCCAATCCCTGTAAGCCTTACATTACTAATCTGTCGTTACGTTATACTTGATTGGATCTTTTTTGACCAGTTCTCGTGGCGGGCGACTTTAACCTGCCTTGGTATGTGGACACTTATCCAGCGGGAAATTTGAAACGAGAATTGCGCATTATTAGAACCAACATTATAGAATTTTTATTATTTTGGCACTGTAATCCGTCGATACGATTGATTTCAGACTTTCATTGAGACAACTGCTTAAATGATATAGCAATTCTTGTTAAAATTGATGTTAATTTCTGTTTGAAAATAAACATGACTATTACAAATCTATTTACATTCACTATATTAATTTATATTGCAGCGATTCAGCATTACGACACGGTTAAATATTTCCATTTATTTCTAGCCAATCAAAGTCAAGTATAAAAGTGCGAAGTCCGCCATAAAAATGTGAAAACATTCGAAGTCTGGCGGCGAAAGAGTTAAATCAAATTTTTCAGCCAATCATTATCGATACGTTTAGTGTTAAACTATTTTTGCATCAAACTTTTGCTTCTTGCAAATACTTTTGTTCCTCGAGCAGCCACGTGTAATCATATCACGCGACAGCTGATTATTCAAGCAAACCCGAATTTTTGATCGATTCGACAGACACGAAGCTTTCACGAATCTATCGCAGAGACTGCGATGGAAGAACTTTTCTCCAAGAAAAAAAGAAATCGTCGAAATTGGCAGAAGAAGAAATCGTCGCAATCACTGGGAAATCCAGCAATTTCCAGTCGACCCCAGCAAGCCCTCCTTCCTCTTGCTACTTGAATCTCGCCGAAGTTCGACTTCTCAGTTCTCCCTGTGTAAATAATTTCGAAAGGGGATGGTTCCTCGAGTCATCCAGAAGAGCCAAGACTTGAACCGAGGTTTCTCAAAGTTCATCGATAATAAATTCGACGACTTCGCTTTTTTTTTTTTTTTTTTTTTTAAGACGAACACCGGTATCCGCGAATCCCGTTACGTAAAAGTCGATCGGTCTGGCTTCTGAAAAGCTCGTGTCTGCGCAAGAAAAAGCGAAAAAAAATTGGATAACACTCGAACGAACATCAACTTTGACGTGAATGTTCTCTCGCCACGAGAGAAAAGCGCCGCAGACGAACAGGCGTGGGTTACGACCGATACACGATTACAGAACGGAAGCAAAGAAGCAAAGAAGCGTAAACGTCAGAGGCGAGCAGGAGAGGGGAGGAGGAGAAGGAGAGAAGCCATACAATGAGACAACGTCTTATGACAGCCACGAGTCATAACGCACTCGTAACGTTCAACTCGAGGCGCATACGTAATCGCGTATAAGGCGGCAAATCCATGCTAAGCGATCGACCATTCTTCCCCCCCCCCCCCCCCCTAACTCGCCGGGGGGCTTATTGTTCACCGTTATTCGCTATTCAAACGTGTGCACCGCGATACACGAACCGAGCCGAGATCCGATCGATAACACCGACGGGCGGCGTCTGTTCATTCATGACACGATGCGCTCCACGCTGCTGGGATATCGCTTTTTTCCACCCTTCGTCAAAGTCACCAAGAGGCAATCCCTTTTTTTCAAAAAGGGGCTTTTCTCTGTCGAAAAAAAGGAGTACGAAGGACGTTCGTGAAATGGAAGATTAACCTCTTGCGCTGGAACGATCAGTCACGCGCGTCGAGAATTTTTTTTTTTTTTTTTTTTTTTTTTTGTTCCAAAATTTGTAACATTTTTTTCAGTCTCAAGTATATTTAAGTGAAAACAATATGGGCGAAACAAGGAATGAATTTATCACTTATCGACAATTTCTATCCGGGTGATATCGTACCGACGAGTTCGAAAAGAAAGCGACGAATTATTGTATATATGGTGTTGGTCACTCGTTATGGTCCGCAGCGCAGACAGAAAAATACATGTTGAAAGTTACTTCAAGAAACAATCTATCTGTGAAACAACGAAATTATATTGCTAAGTGTTTCATACGAGAGTTATTAATTAATTTGCTGCCAATTAAACGATTTATTATTTGTTATTTCGTGAAACAAATTATTCCTCACCTGCCAGAAATCTTTATTTATTACTTGATTTTGATAGAAATAACTGAGAGTTCTCTTCAAAGGTGTCAGAGCTTTTCTTGGCCATGCTCCATGAGATGAGAGTATGGTTATGTGAATGTGTTTTGAGGGTAGAGAGTGTGAAGAATCGTGAAAAAGTTACAGAGAGCAGCGAGTTGTCTAGAAAGCTAAAAAGTTTAAATATCCAAAGCTAAAATCTAAAAAGTCTGAAAGGAACTTAATATTTTTGTCGCCTCCATATTCGAACTTTTCAGTATTCTTTGTTCCCAAGTTAGTAAACTTTAATTATTATAAATTATAATATATTATTTATTATATACTCTATTATTATAATGTATATTATATACTATATTACTATAATAATATATTATTTATTATATACTGTATTACTACAATGTATATACTATATTATTATAATAATACATTATTTATTATATACAGTATTATTATAATACATATTATATACTATATTACTGTAATAATACATTATTTATTATGTATTGTATTATTATAATATATATTATATATTATACTATATTACTGTAATAATACATTATTTATCATATACAGTATTATTATAACACATATTATATACTATATTACTGTAATAATACATTATTTATCATATACAATATTATTATAACACATATTATATACTATATTACTATAATAATACATTATTTATTATATACTGTATTGTTCATTATAAACTCACGTGGGTTCAACTTTTTTTTTTAACTTTCTCCCCACGTTATTAACACTCAACTATTATTACTATTATTATTATTATCGACAGATCAACGCAGCTCAATATATATAACATCACCTCGCCCACGACATGACGCGACGCGGCGTCCATTGACATTTCCATCCCTATTTTCATTGGCACGAGGTTCACGCACGATCACGCGCGCGCCGTGTCGCACGACGATTTATGGAGCGTGTCCACGCATAGTGATGCCGTCTTAGAACTTCTAATTACCTTTGTCACAGGTGGAACGTGTCTCGCGTTGATCGTGTCCGGCCAGTCGAAGGGAAGATCGATGAGCGATCGACTATTTTAATCGACCGAACTTCGTCCTAGACGCGCTTAAGATATATAACGTGATCGTCGATTGAATCGAGGAATATCTACTACTCGATGAAATAAATTATAATTTTAATTACAAATCATTTCGTGCAGCTTATCTTTCGCTCGATGGAACAAATTATTATCGTAACTTTAATTTACGATGAACCGATATTTACGTCAGTTGATGTTGGATTTTTCATAGTAGAATTTCTTTTGATATTTCTGACTGAGAAAAATCGACGCTAAACTCTACATTCTCATACACAAGTGAACAAGTTTGTCAACTGGATTAAAGAATATACCTTTAGTATATTATTTACCGATGAAATAAATCAATCATAGTTTGCCACAATTTTTGCCAGCTTCTACGAAATTTCACCTCGTCGACCGTCACATCGGCTGAACTTGAAATTTTTATAAAATCCCTTTCGAGAAAATCGACAAAGTTTCATAATAGGGCATTGAATAAAGGAAAATCTGATTACACAGTGAGTGAAACGACAAGTGAATTCGACATCTGGCGCGAGATTACGAAATTTATTTATTACACAGAGGACGATTATCAATTATTTCGTCGCGTAAAAAAAAAAAAAAAAAAAGAACGAGCGTATTTCAGCTGTATAAAAACTTTATCGACGATTCTGTTCGTCTGTCTGACGAGATAAGAACATAAGTCACAAGAAATTTCCCATGAATATCATTTGAGTTTGCTCCTCGACACGAGCGAGACTCTATTGTACGTACGATGTTTCAACTGGTGGCTTCTTTGCAAAATTCGCTTGCAAAGTGGCAACAGATTTCTCTTCTCGCTAGAAACGAAACGCCATTTCGATTCGGGAAACAATGAAATGAAGGGAAAAGAAAAATTCACACGCGAGCAAAAGG